ATTATTATTATTATTATTATTATTATGCAGTAACATGTACCAATATTAATGTTCTATTTCTTGTAATTACTATTAGGTAAACAGATGGAACCACGAAAACTAGCTTTCCATTTAAATCAATCACCAATTCACCACCAACTCAGATATCTTGAACAAAAAAGATTTACTTTCTGAACCTAATTGTCACAACTATATCCGGGAAAACCCAAACTTTCTCCAATGTAAAGCAACATGTTAAGAGCAGCGTTAAGAAATTTACAGTGAATCAGTGCAATCGACACATGCAAGAGTTGAATTTGGCAATTGATATATAAGCAGAAAGTAAAATCATTCATCTCAAAACCATAAAGGAAATAGAAAACAAGTCCACATTCGATGTTTACCTCTACAATACTTCTGGGCACCAATAATCCCACCTTTGGTGGGCAAAAGCTGCTTGAAAAGATTCATATGAAGCGGTTTCTTCAACTTCTTCTCAAGGAAAAATTTTAATGCTTTATTTGTCTTACACTTGAGCTTTGCTCAATTGCCAGCATAACACTGCAGCTATAGATTGCAGAAAAAGAGCAAATTACAAAACCCTTTGATGGCTCTTCAATTCAACTAACTGAGAACCAAACAAAACCAAAAGAAAAAAGGTATCTTCCCTGCATTTTCTGCATAGAGAAAATAAAGTGGAAGGCTTTGATGAATCCAAGCAACGAGGCTGCGGTGTGGCCAGAGGCATCCCAGGCTCCCAGAGTTTAACCAGAGGAGAGCAGTGAAACTCACCGTTTTAAGCTATATTCCTTTTCTTTTCCTTTTGCTTTTTCTTTTTTAATATTAATATATCTCTCAGGAAGAGAGAGGGACAGCGTGTAAAACTCAAACCCCTGGGTTCCCTCTATCCTCTCTTTCCAATCTTAAAACCCCCACAACAAGAAGAGACGGTTCTCATTTCTTACAGGCTCTGCTTAACTGCAAATTAGTAGAGATTGTTATTACAGATTATCAATGGCATCCCTTTCTTTTACTCATTTTCTCTCACATCACAGGTTCTTTCCATCTCTCTTTACCTCAAGTTTTAGCAGTATTTTTTTCCTTTTTTAATGTTTTTTTTGCAACTGGTATTCTTCTCATATCCTTTTGTAATTTCACTTTGATGGGGTATAATCGTTGCTGTGTCTTTGCCATGTTTTTATGTTATGAACTTGAATGTGTCTCACCTTTGTGTGGATGCCCATTTTATAATTCAGCTGCTCCAATGCTACTTTGCCATTTTGCTCCAAAATTATTTTCTTTTCTTCCTTGGTAATAGCAGAGGTCACATGTCAGCCAAAGACCCGTGTTTTTGCTTTCCTAACAGTACTATTTACACTGTGAATCAACATTCCCTTTTATTGGGATTTTGAAAGAAATTTAAAATGTTATCTGATTTTGCTTAGATTTTTTATTTTTGTGTGTTACTGTGGGGCTTTGTGCATGTGTGTTGGCTTTTGTCTGGAGGTTGGGGGTGAGGAATTTGCTGGTGCTGCACATGTGGATGATTGATAATGTTGAAAGTATAATAGTGTATACTGGACTTTACTACGTCAGAGCTCAGATTAACTACGCTTAAGCCTTGGCTCACTTGTAAACCAATATTTATCTATGCTGATCTTTCTTTCTTTCTCATTTTTTTTTTATTTTGCTTTCTCATGATGCAGGTGTAACTCGAATTCAATTTATTACCCAGCGCCCAACTTAGTGCAACCTCAGGATTTCTGGTTGCAGAATAAATGGTGTCTCTCAGCCAAGAAAAATGGTGCCATTTCAACTCAAGAGGAACCCAGTGAAAATGGGGCAGTTGTCAAAAAGAAGGCTTCTAGAACTACTGGACGAGCTACTACACGAACTAGGAAGAAAGCAAAAGATGATGTACCCGAGGAAAACTCTGAATTGGTGTTAAAAAATGATGCTGCTAAGGAGGAAGGCATGTCTATATCAAGTGAAGCTAATAAGAAAACAAGAAGGTCTAGAAAGAAAGGTACAACCTTGCAATTTCATCAATGTCTTGCCTCATTAAACATGCTTAATACCTATTGCTGATCTAAAATCAGTTATTTATTGCTAAATTGATACTTTTATTATTCACAGTGCCATCAGCTTCTACTAGTGTTGATGAACAGAAAACTGAGAAAAAGGTGAGGAGGAGAAGGACTAAAATGAAGGATGATAGTATGGAAGAGCAACAAAGTGAATCTGAAATTAGTGATATAGAGGACTCTACTTTAATGACAAATTCGGGTGGTGAGAGTGAGGAAGACCTTGAATTGCATATAGATGAAGGAGAAGATATTAGTTACACATATGGCTGGCCTCCACTTGTTTGTTGCTTTGGAGCTGCACAGCATGCTTTTGTTCCCTCGGGAAGACCAGCCAACAGACTTGTAGATTATGAAATCCATGAGAGAATGAAGGACGCTATATGGGCCCCAGAAAAATTTGTTAGGGCACCTGGGGGATCTGCTGGCAGTGTTGCTCTTGCTCTTGCAAGCCTGGGTGGTAAAGTTGCTTTTATGGGAAAACTTGGCGATGATGACTATGGCCAGGCCATGCTATGCTATTTAAATGTGAACAATGTTCAAACACGATCAGTTCTAATTGATAGTAGAAGGGCAACGGCTGTATCACAGATGAAAGTTAGTAAAAGAGGACGCTTGAGAATGACCAGTCTCAGATCATGTGCAGAGGATTCTCTGTCCAAGTCTGAGATCAATATTGATGTGCTGAAAGAGGTAATAGAGTAACTGTGTAAAAAGTAATTCATGTGATTTTGGCATCCTTGCTTTTTAATGATATATGGTTAGGGAAACTTCATGATATTACACTACTATTTTACTTGAACATGTATCTGCTCGTCTTCTTAGTAAAGAGAAACTGATAATTGTAAGGATAATGTTTCAGTAAATTGGGAGGAAAAAAAATAGATAGAAAAGCTCTGTAGTCTTTATTAACACAGTGTAGTATATCTGTGAGAAAGTTTCAGCTTAGAGCAGAAGCTAAGGAGCAATTTATCGAAGTGCCTATATATGTTCTGATTTCTTCCGTCAATTTTTCCAACTTTATCCAATATGTTTGGATGATTTGTTGCTTCCAACCTTTTTATTTTGTGTTTTCTTTGTCAACCTCAACATGAGAGTTTTCCAGTTTCATTCTTTGGATTTGATTATTTATGGGATTTCTAGGTTTGTGCACATTCTGTTCTATAGTCTTACATTTTCTGGCAATTTGCAACTGGCTGCTTATAACATGCAAAATCACTCACGCATATATAAATGTCCTCACAATGGAAGAAATGACTTATCTATAATTATAAGATGGGCCATACCTCTTTACTTCAACAATTTTAATATCTCTATTATAAGAAAGCTTTATTGCTCCTAGAGATAATTGACTTCTTTAACAACCTCCTTGTAGGCAAAGATGTTCTATTTCAGCACACATTCTCTGCTTGATCGAAACATGAGATCAACTACATTGAAAGCCATCAAGATGTCAAAGAAATTAGGAGGGGTTATTTTCTATGACGTAAACCTTCCACTGCCACTGTGGCAGTCTGATGAAGAGACCAAGATTTTCATACAAGAAGCATGGAACCTTGCTGATGTTATTGAGGTTACTAAGCAAGAACTGGAGTTTCTCTGTGGAATCAAGACTACTGAAGAATTTGACACCAAGAACAATGCCAGATCAAAATTTGTCCATTATGATCATGAAGTGGTCGAACCACTTTGGCATGAAAACCTTAAGGTTATGTTTGTAACAAATGGGACTTCCAAGATACACTATTACACAAAGGAGCAAAATGGTGCAGTGCATGGGATGGAGGATGCTCCCATAACCCCTTTCACTTGTGATATGTCAGCATCTGGAGATGGTATTGTTGCAGGTACAGACTTGTGGATCTACTTATCTCTGCTCTCTGCTACATGAAAGTTTGTAGGTTATTTTGGAGTCATTATACATAGGGACTGTTGGGCTTGGTACATTGCCAAGCTCAGCCTTTTTTTCCCCATTTAAAAACATCATTTGGCTCAAAGGGAGAAGACTGAGCAGTTGTTATAGCTTACCACTCAATGTGCAGTTAACCCTTTTTGTAGGAATTGCTCTTTGATGGTCTATTTCAACCGGCTTATGTCTAAATAGGTGAATTGTTATGGTTAGGTTTCCAGCTATCAGTTTGACCATATCATTTTCTAATTTTAATATGTAATTGATAATCCACAAACTCCCAAATTAATAGATCTATGTTACAAAGTAATGTGGAATTTATCGTGTTATTAATTTTCATTATATGTTTCCTTTGACATCCTAGTGTTTGAGAAAACTGCTTAGTCAGGCTAGTTAAAACAAAATATGAAGGATGGCTAATTATCATTGTTTACTTTATGTAAGATCTTTGCTGGAAGCGATTTGATATGATTTATTATTTTGTATGCATAAGGCATCTGCTCTCTAGAACGGAGAAGTTAAAGATTTAGGTGGTAGATGATTTTGATATTGATTTTTCCTCATTGACTAATTATTGATGCATGGGTAGGAACTCATGGTTTATTTACTGTTATTTGAATTTCAGCTTATCCATCCTTTTTTTTTTCTTTTCACAAACATTTCAGCTCTCCTGAGAATGTTGACGGTTCAGCCAGATCTCATTACAGATAAAGGATACTTAGAATGCACAATCAAGTATGCAATTGACTGTGGGGTCATAGACCAATGGCTAGTTGCAAGCACATGTGGCTTCCCTCCAAGGGAAGGTATAGAAAAGGTAGGAGAAGAAGAAAAAGAAGAAGAAGAAGAAGAAGCAGTTCCTGATTTAAATGGCATAAGATCAGTAACAGAAAGGGAATATCGCACATTGGTGGAGTCTGTAAGTTGATCTTGGATGTCATACTGATTCATATAGTTTATTTCATCATATGCCTTAGGAAATTTCATACCACTGTAAAGTACGCTGAATGCCTCTGTGCCACTCAATTAAATCTTGTTAATTGAGGAAAACCAATTTTGAAATGAATGAAGAGTTCATATATTCCAATCCCAGGAGTTGCTCAGTATTAATTGCTTCAACATTAATGAACATTGCAGAGCTTACCATCCTAGAAAGAAACAAAAAAAAAGAATAGATTCTTTTAGATCTTTGGAACAAAATGATTGAATTATTGTTAAAACATCTAACTCATTGCTTATTTTCTCATAAAGCTTAAAAGTTGTTTGATCTTATCTTTGTAGAATATGCTATTGTTGCAAGCAGTACAACAATACTTTGATTATGAAAGGTTTGTTGTACTACACACCTTTAACTGAAGATGTTCAATTGAACATGTACTCACTTTCCTTGAGTGAGAGGATCTAAAATGGCATCCCTAAGAAATGTACAGTCAGAGGGCACTTTTCATTGAAAGTATTAATTTTTGCATATCTACTTTCGTCCGTGGCATGTTGGAGCCTGTCCTAATAAAGTTCTGTTCTTCAGTTACGTATTGTGGAGCTTAAATTTTGATAGCTTTGTTGAGGGTTTAGTCTAATCCATGTAGAATATGCTGCCTAATCAGCTCAGTCTCTCTCTTGAAAGAGATTGGACATATTTAAATAGTTTCCATTATTTAATTCTGGATAACTAAGAGTAGGTTGAAGAAGCTAATCTTTCATTGTAACTGATGTCAAAAGGTGGATAGGTATTTTAATATTTTATTTTCAATCATCATCCGTGTAATTATTAGTTGAAGTTATCCAACTGATGTCAAGGGCATTTGTTTTTGTTTTGATTTTTTTTCTTGGGTAGGGAACTGGGTGGAGAGGGGGTTGGGTATTGGATCTTAGAGTTTTGCAATTCAGGAAGCTTTCAATCCCTAATCTCAACCCTTTGTTTATTATTTTTAATGTGGGGAAGGGTAATTCAAATTTACTCTCTGAGTAAGGAATACATGCATCTACCATTAATGTTAGGAGATGCCACAAGTGTGAAAATATTCTTAGGTGGGGACTGGGAAGCCTCTGATAAGTTTCATGTCAGGATGCTCTTAGCTTATGTTGCAGAGTTCCTATCAGATAATAAATGGTAATAATTCCTGCACACACAAAATAAATGATATCAATTATTCTAGCTGCTCTATTCTGTATTATGTGCATAAAGAACAGCTTTTATGATGTAGATAGTTCAGTATCTGTACATTTATGACTGAGAAAGGCTTTTATTTGGCATCTTACAAAGATGCGTCACACAAATTCTGAAGTAGTCATTGATTATATTTCATCTTCACAACAGATAGATGGATCTTTGAGCCATGCAAATGTCTATTGCCACAGTTTGATTTCCTTTGATTATCCAGGTCAGAAGATTGGGGCTGCTCTGGGAAGGGTAGGAAAATTTTCCCCTTTCATATGTTTGGTATATATCAACAGAGTTGGCATGCTGCCCCACATTTCACTCGTATGGCTTCCCAATGAAACTGTCTAAATGGAACCTGAACCAAGTAAAAGCTTTTGCATTAAGAACCCAACGTTTATTTACCTCTCCTTACAAAACGGATTTCACACTTCCCATCTCAAATAGAAAAGAGAGGAAGAAAAACCGAAATGAAGAATTTAACCCAAAGTAAAAAGAAAAAGAAGCCAGGAACTAATCGAGGACGAGGATCAACAGGTTTCAAAACCCTCCACTACATACAAAGATACACTTTGACAAGAAAAAAACTGGACCCTACTCAGAGAATTGGAAGCCGTCTAGTTTTGATGCAGCTGGCTTGTCCAGAAACCATATCAACTTCCCTTTCGATGGTTGGACTAACCGTGCAGGCAGCGACGGGCAGTCAGGTCCGATGTTATCGATTGCCGAATGCACAGCCTCTGCTTTGCTCTCACCTGTCACAACCATTGCTACATTGGACGCTGAATTGATGACAGGCAAAGTGAATGTTATCCTCTCAGGTGGTGGTTTGGGGGAATCAGTGATGAAAGTTACCCATTCGTCTGTCTCATCAAGCACTGAATGATTAGGAAATAGCGAGGCAATGTGACCATCAGGGCCCATCCCAAGAAGGATAAGGTCAAACTTGGGGCAGTCACTAATGTCAGAAACACCTACCATCCGTGTTTTCACTAACTGCCGAATAACAAACATGTATTCATCAGCAGCCTCCTCTGCTGAAACTGAATCATTGATAGAATGGACATGACTTGGAACAATTGGCACCTGCAGATTAAAGGCATAAATCATGAGAGTATATAGAACTTACACGCAAAACTTATCAAAATAAGCTGAAGCATGATTTTTCAATCAATCTATCCATTGAAGAATGTTGCCAAATTCAGAACTTTTAAAATGGTAACACCATGACACTAAATCTGGATCCAGCCTTCTAGGCAATAGAAGAAAACCGCATCGTTGTTGACATAAATGTTTTTATAATGATTCAATATAAATTTCTCTTCCACCACTCACTAGAAATAAGATAAAAAGAAATAAAAATTGGTAATCTAACTTTTATCATAGTCAAGTTTAGTTTGATGCTAGTTAAGTCATTTTGCTGACTAGCTACTCAAAGGGATGCAAAACATGACTAACAAGCTAGCTAGGTCACTTAATGTTCCCCATAACCACAACTTGAAAAGTAATTCATCAAATTTTTGTTCAATTTATAGGTAAGGGGTGAGAAAAAGTTTAGAACAAAAGGAGAGGGGACAAGGTATAGTCCAAGAAGCGGTAACAAATGAGCAAGTCCTAAAAGCCCTCAAACCTGTCCGATTTTGATCATCAAGGATCCAAACAGACAAACTCTTCATCTTTGAAAAACAAGTCTACAAGGATTACAAAAGATAAAATGACAGTTTCACTGTAAGGCCTTTAGCTTTCCAGGACCATCAGTCATCTTGGTCACTTTGATAATATTCGATGTCCTAAGGATGCATGCTTCATGCTATCCTCAATGTGCCAGTGGAATGAGCAACTCAAAAAAGTTCAAAAGTTCTTAGAAGGGTAGAACCACCAGAAAAAGCTCTTCAAATCATGTGGAAATTTACACTTCCATGTTGTTACCGCAAGTTTTCAAACCCCCAACCTGCCAGTACAACCCTCTTAAGTGAGCAAAAATTCTTGTTTGTATCATGTATTGGTTCTTTGTATTGCGGTGAGTCAAAGATGGCACAGTGAACAAAATGAAATTTTATATCCTGGTAGACGAAATTCAAGTTGCAGGATTGACCATATAAAACAGGAAGGTCATAAAAAACCTGAGCTAAATGAAGAAGTTTCCAGAGATATTATGAAAATACTAAAACCCCAGCAGTAAGAAAGTTTTTGTAGTTAAAACCAAACATCTAGTTCAATTGAAAACATCATAGATGATACTTAACACATTCATGCTAGTAAACACTTGCCCAAAGAGGACAGAATACTCAATTTCACACCTTCTCATGTCAAAGTTGATACTGCATCAGATGGCCAAATAATAAACAGAAAATAATCCTAATACTTCATACTTGCTAAACATATATTTAACTTAAAATGTCAGAAGATAACCATAACATGGTGGAGGTGAATTCAAGGAGCAAACACAGGAATCACTGAAAATAAGGAATCCACTAATGAATGAGTAACCAGATGTGGGATATCATATGTAAACTACTACTACTAGTTACAAATGTTCATTCCAAACTCAGAAGACAACATCATAGGATAAGGTTTAAGCAATTAACAACTGCTAGCAAAGGCTAATATTTCAAGATCCAAAGGGTCTATCAGTCTAATCAGTGAATATGAAGGCACTAATCTGTACTGTGTATTAACCAAAGGAGAAAAATCCAGGAAAAGAATGAGATCAAACAGAGACATCCTTATCAGATACCAATATCAGAACAGAAAACATCATCTCTTATTGCAATTTCCCCTCAATTGGTTTTTGGAAAGCAGAAAGGAAACAAAATGTTGCAAATGCTCAAGATAGCATTCAATCCTTGAGCAATTTCATTTGTGGCTTTCAGCCTTTCTCAGAACAAAAGAAACCCTCATAAAAGGGTAGCCAGAAAACATCAAATAAAGTATGAAACCAGATACGAACCTTTGAAAGAAGGCCATCCTTTGCAAGTTTATAATTGCTATCAGAATGGTTTTTTGCTACAACACGTTCATCCGCCCAAAATATATACCATTTAGCCCAGTCTACAGTCTTGTTATAAGGAGCTTCACAGAGTTTTCTGTTTCCACTAAAAACTTTAATGGAAGAACACCAAAATCACAAGACCAAAAATAACCAAACATTGAAAAGGAATGCATTGATACCCCATTAAGCCAATGAGAGAACCTCCGGACAATGCAATAGCAAAGACGCCCCGCTCCTTCACCGCAGCCTCTGATAACTCAGCAATATAGTCAGCCAAATCCGTCCTTAGCTCATCCAAATTTTCATGAATCCTCAATTCTCCTCTATCATTATTATCCCCAGAAAGAGCCATGCTTTTGACAATTTTACCAACTATAGTGTCAACAAAAAGACGGGGGAGGGGGGATCAGAATTAAGAATTTAACAGAGCCAGTAGAGCTAATTATAAGCAATTTCTCCAGCAAACGCTCCAAGAAGAACAAGAAAAAAAAACACCTGAACAGTAAAAAGAAAATGTAGCAGCAGACAATAAAGCCAGTAACTTTTGCAGCTCACAGGCATCAACTTAAATTCATAAAACATCAAAATTCTAGATCATGCAAAACAGTCAACAGAATCTATGTCTCAAAAAGTTTTATATATGTATGAAAAAAAACCCTCAACAACACAGTTCAAGATTTATTAAACAAAAATTAAAAACAACCAGGTGATATTAGCCAAAAGCCCATCACTTCATGCATGGTGTTTAAAACTTTAAATTGAGCACAACAAGGCAATCCAGCAAAAGGGCACGATCATCAGAGTCCAAAGATCAAGCAAAATCTAAAGTTTAACTAATTTGATATGTCTCAAACGGATGAATTTCACAGCAAAATCAGTTATACCCAGAACATAAAAAACAAAGCTCGGATCAAAGAAAAATCTAAACTTTCATTCGCTTAAACAAATAACAAAAAGTGGGAAATGCTTACAAAGAAGAAGAAGAAGAAAGGAGAAAGAAAGAGGATAGGTGGTGGCACAGAAGCAAAAAAAACAGATGGAGGTGGAAGATGGGTAATCAACAACAAATGAAATAATTATTTATATAATAGAAACATAAGAAAAAACAGATAAATGTAAAATAAACTCTGTTTCAGGAAAGAAGCTGAGGAGAATTTACCTTCTGGGTTTCCACGTGCAACCAATGATATGGACAAAACACACACAACAACAAAAAAATATAAATAAACTCTGTTTCTTTTCTCTTTCTCTCTCTTTCTGTGAGAAAAATGAAAAAGTAAACGGATAATAATATTAGATATAGAAAGCAAGAAATTCTTAGTAAAATAAACAATCCCAAAACAAAAAACTTTTCTTTTTCTTTTTATCTCTATCTCTATCTCTTTACTTACTTATCTCTTTCTCTTTTTTTTTTCTCTGTTTAAGTTCAAGAGTTTGAGAAAGAGGAAATCTTTGTTTCCTAAATACTCTGCTACAACATCTCCCCTTTTATAAATTAGCACCTGGGTTTTAGTTAATGTTGCCAAATAAAGGCTTAAATTAATTAAAAAACATTTCTTGCTAAATATTATTGAGGTTCTGTTTTTGGAAAGAAAAAAAAAAGGAAAAAACAGGGGAGAGTTGAGAAGCAGAGTCCTAAAAGACTAACCAAACACCTGTCCAAATCAGATGCTGACAAATGGACCAATGGTACTTTTGTCTTGTAAGACTAGAAAACAATGGATTTTTTTAATTTTAATTTTTTATTCTATTTTATAAAAATCTTTAAACTTTCCTATTTCTATCTCTATGCTTTTCTTGTTTCTTTTCCTTTTCCTTTTTCCTTTTTCTTTTTTTTTTTCTTGCTCTTCCTCTCTTAACTTTGTTTTACAATTTCTTTTTGGTTGTCTCCCCAAAACCAGCTACTTTACACCTTTTCTATATGTTTCTGTACAAAATTTGTTTGTCTTGCACTTTCACCCTCCCCCCTTCCCCCACCCCTTCACCTTCTTTGATCCCCATAAATTCCTCCACCATGACTATATAGAAGGTTAACCATTATGAACATTGAAAGTACAATATGTAATTACAAAGTGAGTACCCCCATCATTAATAGGAGCCATTGATCATTTATCTTTTGTCTAATTCAATTCTATATCGAATGGTTTTGATTCTTTTGAGTAATTAATTGTGTTATTATCTCAAAATTTATTTATTTTATTAATTAAATATGGTTTTGTTTAATATGTAAAAACAGAACAAGCTTCAATGTATTAGAATTTTACCATGATGAATTACTAATTGAGTTCAATGTTTGAAAGTATTTGCCCATTTCAATCTTTTTGGAGCTATTCCTTGTTGTGTATGAAGTATAAACCAACTTTATGTCACCTTTCATAGTGTTTTATATTGAAGATATCATGTCAGCCATCATTTTCCCTTAGTTTCTCCAACCTCACATCACACCATAAAAAAAAAAAAAGAGAAAGAAGAAACAAATCATTTTTAAATTAATTAATTGATGGTGGAATATATCAAGAGGGAAGTTTGGGAATCTCTTGCAATCAAATATCATGCAAAGAAAGGAGGAGGAGAGGGGTGTTCAAAGGTGAAAAGTCCCAACAAAATCAAAACCCCACATAATGGCAAATCAAAAGAGTTGGTAGTCCAGTTTCAGGAATCTTAACATTATCAAAGCCTGACATACTAAATGGAGTCTATGTATTATAATATATTATATATATATATATATATATATATTTTAACTCCTTTGGGAAGAAGCAGGACGGCCATGAAAGCCTGTATCCCTCTCTGCCTGACATCTTCCATATTCTGATTCTTAACTTTGACAAACAAACAATATTACAAACAACCTCTCTCTCTCTCTCTGAAAAATCCCACTCCTTCTTCAACTAGTTATTGAGAGCCACTTCTCACCTTTAGCACTCCCTGCCCTTTTTACCTCTACTATCTGTGGGTTGTGGGGAAGAAAGAAAAGGGTTTAAAGGTATTGCATTTTTTCCCATGTCTTAATTTTCCATTGTATAAATTCAATGATTACTGTGGAGGGGGACTGGTTTGTTCTTCTTCTCCATCATTCCATGTCTTAAACCCATGGCATTACAGCATTCTCATCAATTTCTTTTGCCCAGGTTTTTTTTTGATTCCATTCTTGAAGTCAAATTGAACTAGATTCAACCAGGATTTTTGCACCAAAAAGATACCTCTTAAGATGTGTGACTCATAGGCCAGAAATCTCCTGGAGTTGAGAAACTTGATAAAAACCCAGACTGTAGCCAAGTTTGGAGCAAGATTTCAGTGCCTCCCAACTCCCCAACATTGGCCTTAAATTGGACAGATAACTGCCTAAAAATCCTCTCTCTCTCATTGCTAAATTATTGCTTCAATTTAATATTATGCAAGAAATCATCCTGCTGACAACATATACATGCAACTATCTCTCTCATGTGAACAATTAGTATGAATCTTTCAAAACCAGGGTTCAAGCAGCTAACCATTCTGAATAATTATTGTTTGCTAAAGCAGTAACATTAAAATAGACTTCAAATATATTCTTTCTCCCTATTGATTATTGGATGGATGAAGCAGACTGACCAGCTAATACAGGTAGAAAATCCTTTTCACACACAACAACCCCATTTCCTTGGCTTTGCTTGATTGTAATAAAAGACCGAAAATAGTCCTCCAAAAATGAAAGAGACAAATCACAAGTTTTAGGTAAGTAATAGCACCTAGTCTAGTATTGAAAACCATAACTAGCTAAAACCATGAGAGTAACCCTCGGCCCATGTTTGGAGTAGCCACGCCTATGGCTGCAAATCATTTTCTTCTTTTTGGGTGTCTTGTCTTTGTTTTGATTGATCAGTGCTCGCTCCTGTTTTTCTTTTTTTAGAGAATTTTTTCTCTCTTGTTCATTCTTTGCTTTTGAATTGTATTGATTGATGCATGTTTGTCTAAAAAAATGTAATAAAAAAATAAAGAATATAATTGTAAAATTTATCGTACTAATTATGATTTATAAAAAAAATTGATATTAGAGTAAAATCAATTTAGACTCAGATTCATATCAAATATTTTTAAAGAAAGAGATAAGGAATGATCAATTGAATTAAGTAAAACAAAATATTATATTAAAGGTTTTAAAGAAAATTAATAGAGTGTTTCAATCGGACAAATAAAAAGATGTTGAAAAAAATTTCAAATATAAAATCTATTGAGTTAACTTTTTTAAAAGAAAAGAATGATTCCGTGACAAAGTTTACTACTTTCCATAAAATTGAAAGAAACCAAAACCAAATGGAGAAAGCATAATTTATGACAAAAAACAAACGTGAAAATCAATAACAATTACAAAATATTAATAATTCACTCAAAAAAAGTGATAAAATTAAAGCAAAAAATATTAAAAACGTGCGGGGTTCTAACTTGAACAAATTTCTTCCCTCTCCTTTTCACTCATGCTGTCTTTGAATCTTGATTTGCCTACTACAAGTTTTAGTCATAGCCCCTTAGAGTTCAAAACCAAATTTGTTAAAAACACCGAATCTGTGTGTTTCAAGGGGATTATTAATTTTTTAAAAAAAAGTTAATTTGATCAAACGTGTACCACATAAGTTTAAATATCTTTTTAAAATTATTTTTTTAAAAAAATTAATTTGATAGAATATGTGAGGCTTACGTTTATAAATTTTAAAAAAAACTCTTACTTATTCAATTTGAAAATTAAGTGGTGTTTGGTATGAAGCTAATAAAAATACATTTTTTACCATGTATCTAATTAAATTACATTGTAATATTTATTTTACAACAAATCATTACAATGCAATTACATTACAGCATGATTACAGTCTAAAACTAATAGAATCACATTACATTACATTCTGTAATGTTATTAAAGATGTTTTTACTCTTCAACTTTATTACTTTATTAAAGATATTTTGTAATATTATAATTAAAATAAAATATATAATATAAGATTAGAAATTAAAATTTATATAATATAGGTAAAAGAAATAAAAATAAAATATATATCATTAAAAATATATTTAAGAGATGATACTATATAAAAATTAATAATAAAAAATACAAGTCTATTAAACTTACATTTTAATAAATATGAATAATTTTAAAAATTAACATTAAATTTTTAGTAAAAAATTTATAAACCAAACATTGTAATGTTATCTTTTTTATATTTTAATCATTATTTTACTTGCATACCAAATGTTGTAATATTATTTTCTTGCAATTGTATTACTTACGATGATATTACTTGTAATCACATTATATTGTAAAGTATTAAATGTTATCTTTGTATCAACCGTAACTCGATATATTTTATTAAAATTTATAATTCTTTTATATATTTTTTTTCAGCTAACGAATATAAGGATTCATGACGGAGACGTGAACGTTGAAGCAAATAAACTGGAAACCAAACCCCATTGCCACGAAGGGGGAAAAAGAATTGTAAAATTCAATCAATGATATGGGAAAAGAATAATAATTAAAGGCCATCGTTGGTGTAATAGTAAAATCTTTTTATGAACAAAGATTACATCATCTCTAATCTTTATATTTAGAAAGGGGTACCCAATAATTGATACCAATTCGAAAATAAAGAGATCATAAATAAATATAAAATGTTTAAAGGTACAGATTTAATATTTTGTATGTTGATTATTTAGATAAATTTTTTAAATTATTAAAAAAATTTAACTAAAATTTTTATTTTTTTATTTTATTTAATTAAATTCATATATTTTTATCTTTTAAGATAAATAGACCATTATGATTATGGGTTGATTAATTATTATTAATCAAAATATTACTTATCATTTTATATTTACATAAAATTACGTTGTTTTATAAAGTAAAAATATATTATCATACTACATCAGTGAATCATATATATCACTATTTATTATCACACGTTAACATATCACATAATATAAAATAATAATAAATATTTTAATTAATTTTAATTAATTTAAATTATTAATCTTAATGACTTATTTAATTTAAAATAAAAATATAAAAATTTAATTGAACATAATAAAAAAATTATTTAAATATTTTTAAATAATTCAAAGATTTTTTAGGTATCATATTTTAAAAAAAATTATAATATTTTTTCATCTAGAACACTAATTAATTTCATTTTTTAGTTAGAACAGATTGAATTATATGAGTGGGGACAATGATCTCAGCAAAGCAAAGCTAAGTTTCTTTAATGTAATCTTATCAGATATCATCTTTGTCTAATGGTGTCATCATTTCAACACTCCCAACACACGATTATCGGTTAGCTTTTCTGCAGTATTGTATCTGTACAGTTGTGCAATTTTCTTAATGACTGCTGCCTCCTCCTCCACGGCCTAACTTTCGTAGGCTGTCCTACTATTTGTGTCCTGTCAGTCTCAACCATGGCCCTCCATGTTTTTCTCACCTTCTAAAACTGGAACATATCATTTGTGGTTTCGATTGGTCCTTTCATTTTCGTCCTTTCCTTTTCTTCTTCTTCTTCTTCTGCAGCAGTTAGTCCTTGAGTCCTTCTCATGATCATAACCTGTTGAACCCCAAATGCATCCATTCCTTCTTCACCATCAACAATGTTGAATCATTAAACCAAATATCTAGAAACAGGGGTTCTGCAATCTGATCAACTTGACCTTTCCATGAGGGGATTGTGTAAAGATTCCAACGTTATTTTCTGCAAGATGTGAACAAAGTTTAATGTTTGAAGATAGCTTGATGGAAACTGATTTTGTACAGAAAGGGACCCCCTGTGCATCACAAACTTTCCAGCCAATAAGTTGGGTAACCTAATCTTGCATTTGTCAATTACTGAGAAAAGAAATGTCTTGATCAACATGATAGTATATGAGCAAAAAATAAAAATATCCACTCCCCTTGTAAGTGGTCCACTTCTCTATTATTAGCCTGCCTTGGGTCGTAGCTTAGGAACCTGCCAGAGATGGATGTATTCCCTTCTCAATTGACATACCCTTTTTGCTGTATTTAGATGTTCAATCTTTTCATCATACATACGTATACGTATGTACGTAGTTTTGGTATCATGACAGTTAGCACTTGAGATATAAACTTGAAACTCAAAGATTTCAGATTCAAATTTTTATTCTGAAGTTACAGACATGGATGATACATCAAGACATACCTACCGGATTGTATTGGGCTATGTTCACATTTGATTATGAGTGGTATATATATTTATCATTAAACCAAATGCCAAATTAAACCAAAGACCAATTGGAGCTAAAAATCTGAGAAGTAGTACCTGGGACTACGCCAAGGGACCACAAGCAGCTGAAGTAATTGTCACCAGAGAAATGGTCAGTCGTCGGCCAAGGCTCTAGCTTATGTTCGTTCTTCCAACTTTAGGGCTTCAAAATCAAAACTTTCACAAATTGACACTAGATTAGGATCTCTTTGATGATTTTATAATACTCAAAAGTCAAATCCAGTATGCCAGAGGCTTCTGCAGTTCCATACAACTAAAAATAGAAAAGGGAAATGGATGAAATGAACTGTCCTACTAATAGTTTTGGTAAGAGGTAAGAAGTTGGTAGACCATAATATTCCATGTGGTTTAGATGCAGAACATTGAACATTTGTGTTAGTTTGAATAGCAAAGAGCTGCAACCAAGAGCCTGAGTGGGAACCAACCAATCAGCCCTAGACAGAGCCATGGGTAAGAAGCTTATGAGTAGTTATGGATACTAGCCCTAAAAGAGACACAGGCAAGAGCTCATGAGAGTTCTGTGAGAATGCAAGAAAAATGACAAAGGAATGAGTAGAAAAGTTTACAATTTTATACAATGAGGCTAGACCATAGAAGGATTCATGCCAATTGCTCAAATTAAACAACCAAAGATAAAGTAGGTAAAAGAGTGAAAAGCTACCTAATAGTCTAAGCCTACCAAGTACACCATTGAAACTACTTTAAGATGGATGGGGGACAAAGAAAGTGATACAATGTAATAAAACTATTATTGCTGTTAGTAATCTGTAAAATGTATTTTACATAGGTTGTATGTGGAAGACCCCAATAATACCGAAATTTTCACTTTTCATACAGGAAGCCTTATGAATAAAACTATATCGAAACTCAAGCATCTTGCTTCCTAAAACTTTCCACCCATTGTTTTTCAGCATTCAAGGTGCAGCATTATCATCCTATGCTTGTCAAAAGACAGTTTTAATCTCCAATCCCTCCGTTTACGACAAAATGGTCTACCCTTGCTGTTGGGGTCCCTGTTCTCCTTCACATCTGCCAACTTCCATATGCAGTTCTCTAGCTCTGTTTCAATGGAATCCAGTATGAAAACTCCACTCTTTTCAGTACAATTAGACTCTCCATCTTCAACATAACAAACTCTCATAGCCATATCTTTGAACCGATCTAAATCATCTGGTACCTTTAGTATTCTCTCTGCACCAGGGGATGATACCTTCAAAACAAAAACATCTTCTTTAGAAAAAAAATACATCTATAGTATCATGGCAAACTTCAGTCATAAATAGTTGAGCCATATCTGAGCCTCAGCATGCAATAACTAGCAACTTATTACCTCAAGAGCCAAATCATCAGGTATTTCTCTCCGTTCCCCTGCTTCATCTAGCCTTTTCTTGTATTCTTGACTATAGCTCTCCAGCTCCTCCATGCTCGGACAACCATATCTGATGAAAGGTAGATTGGCCTTTTAATATAATGAACCCTATAGATTCAAGTTCCAAGCTACATACATTGATGCTCACACGCACATCAAAAGATTATCCATCACAAAATGATTACATAAGTCCATCAAAAATTTTATATTTTAAAAGAGAAAAAAAGTAGATGCAATTCAACCTTTTCTAAATGACTTCCATTTTTTGCTTCTTTCTTGATCAGATATCAATGAGTTGGTTCCAGCACAATAAATTACGCTACTTGGTTATTGCTTTTGCTAAACAAAAAGGAAACAAAATCATAATTACTGAAAATGAACAAAGGGACTAATATTTAAAACCAATTCTAACATATAAGTTCTATGTAAAGATAAATTATGTATTTTATTTCCAAATATATATATTTTAAATTTAATTTCTTCAAAATCACTAACTGATTTTCTATCCAAACATGTTGTTGGCTTTTCATTTCCTGAAGCAAAAAGTGATAAAAGTAACAATCAAATGATAGCAAGGTTCTGTATCAAGAAAATTCAGTTTCTCCCACATTTGCAATATCAACCCCAAGGAAGAATAGAAATCGTAATACTTACTCATTTGACAATTTGTCTAGTCTAACATAAATGTATCCACGAGGAGTAGCCTTGAAAGCAAAAATTTTAGTGTCATCACTGAAGAGCTTTAGGACATCACAGGCAATAGAGAGAGCAGATTCACCCCAAGGAACACCTTGCAGTACAACTCCACCTCCATCCCCTCCATCACCAATCTATATGAACCAAAACAACTCATTATCAAAAGCAAGGTAAAACGTATAGCTTCAAACAGGAAACAAAATGTACCTTGGGCTGGACGTCTTCATCCTCTTCTTCCCACCCATCTGTGGTTTCCCCATCATCTTCAGTTATTTCATCTGCAGAAACCAAGAAATTTACGATAATCAGTTTTACACAGAGAACTTTGATCAAACACTCGGAGTCTAAAGCAGGAAAAAAGTATTAAAGAAACAAGGAAAAAGAGACATACAGAAAAGTGGGTCTTCTTCTTCTTGGTGGTTTTCGTGTTTGTTGTGGGTGGAAGAGGTGCTGCTTAACAGACGGTGACTAAAGGAGGAAGAGAAAGAGGAAATGGGTTCTAGTCGTAGAGAAGAAACAACAGCAAAACGAGATGAAGAAGAAGAAGAAGAAAAGGAAGGGTTAAGGGCGGTGGGGAGAGGTAAAGGAGAGAGCCTCGTTGTAGAGAAACGAGAAGCAGCGAGGCCTAAGTGAGGCCTTCGAGAGCTTTGTAACAGAGACTGAATAATTCGACTATTGCTCATTCTTCTCTGCTGCCGTCTCCGTCTTAGCTGCTGCTACAGTAGTTTGTGGGCGCTTAAAAGAAATGGTGTCTCACCCTCTTTACGGACTTTGCTTTCTTGTTCCTGCAACTATGGCATTGGTATGTATGGGATTCAACAATTTGGGTCGGTTTACATCCATGTAAAACTCAAAATACAAAGCACTTTTCTCAGTCTAGCTCTTGCTTTGTTTAGTGTTCGGAATCAAATAAGCAATGCAGACGATATTGGTCGATAGCACTAGGCACAAGGAACATCATAGCGCAATCATGGTATTATCCTAACCCAATTCCTACCCTCAAACGACCCTTGACAATACAATATGATCTAATCAAAGTCCGGACTTTGATGATCACTGCCATGATCGGCATTAACACCATGGAAACAAGCCTTCGGAAACAATGGAAACCTACTTCTCTCAGATCAAATGCATATATATTAGTAGTAATACCCTAAAATTATGGAAAAGGGTAAATGCTCGGATTACTTCCCAGGCCATGGCCGAACTGGGGAATACAAAATCCCTTTATGGAAACTAGTAATCTGCTAAACGATTTACCATGTTCTTTGGTTGCTGCATTGGATGGTTTCCACTACCCAGCTCATGCTGAAATGTTTTTTTTTTAACCATGCGACAGTGGCTTATCATATTCATTTTGGTCAAAGAAGAGCTTGATCTTTGTAGGGAGTGGGAAACACTTCATCACTTGCCTGACATAAGTTGGAGGGGGGAAAGAAGATAAAACACCGTTTATTTCTTATCACAGATGATTAATTTAAAAGCAATATATGATAGAAGAAAATTGATTGCTTTTCATTTTTGCCACCATATGACCTGTACAACATAGCCCTACGAAATCTTAAAGCAAAGGAGAATAACGAAGAACAACAACAACAAAAATGTAGGCACATAACTATCTACAAACGGAGAATGGTTCTTAGTGTGTCACATAGGTTTTGAATGGTCTGCTGCTCCTGCGTTGTCTGTAACTCTTGAAGCGGCATCTCATCATAGCACCTGCAACAGATAGAAGAGAAATGCGGTGAAATGAAAAACAAGGAGTCGCTGATAATTGGTAACGTTACCGATACTTACATTTTGTGGTAAGCTAGGGCATGTGCCAGATTCATTAGTGTAGAACTTGAGGTGAGTCTTTGATAAACACTTGGAGGAAGTGGCATCTGTAGCATGTTAAACTGGCAAATAATTCATAAACCTCAGAGAGAGAGAGAGACAAGGAAGAAAAAAAAGAGACGGGTGGGAGGGCAAGCATGAGAGAGAGAAAAGGAGATATGGATGGAGGAGGAGGATAGGAATTGACCTCATTTTGTGCTCTTCGACCTTTCTTGGATTGTCCATCACCAGCAAAAAGTTCCTGCAGTGCTTCCACTGCCACGGTTCCCCTACTATCGTGTTGCATGCCTCCAAGGACATTGTCTGACAAAAGGGCAATTGGGGATATATCCGTGGCCCTCAAGAATGGAATGGGTACTGTATTACCAGCTGCATATATTGAAAACAGCTGCAAAAACAAGCATCAATCAGGCATCTCAGCTGCATTCACAGCAAAAGTAGGAATAAGATCGGAGCATATAAACCATTTGCAGTGATGGGTAACAGACTGTAACCAAACAGAAAGCATGCAATTACTTGATAGTTAACAATTGGGGGAATAAGGAAAGAGGAAAAGGGAGAAAGGGGAGAGAACCTTGTGAAACAAAAGGGACTAATTAATTGTAAACGTCAAGACAAACAACCCTATGTTCCCCATGCTTAAATTCAACCTCATTAAACTTTGAATAAAAAAGCAGAACCAATTCCAAATCAAGATTACTAATTTCAGCAAACAAAGATTCACTCCAACTCCAAGTGGACCACCAGTGAAGTTTGGACCTTGTTTTCTCATAGTGAAATTAAGACTACCACTCATCCATTATTGGTGCAGATATAGATTACAAAATGAAAACAACCTTATCTTGCAAAGCAAAAGCCTTTTTGCTGACAGTTTCATTCTTCAATGTGCTACTACTGATATCACTGCCACCTTCTGCTTTCGCATGCCGAACACTGTCTGACCTCAGTTTCTGTTCAGGACTGACAGATATTGAAGCCATTGTAGTATTGTTTGCTGAACCACCCCTTCTGTTATCCACCCTATAAAACCGGCCCAAAGAATTGAATACTTGAGTTGGCAACTAGATTAAAGACTTCACCACTTCAGTGATACACTCTCACAAGACATGGAGCTTAGTATGCAACAATTAAATACTATGATGATTATCAAGTAAAAACGTTTATAATCAAGTTCACATTAACCAAGAATTCACACATAGAATCATGAACTACTACTTTTGAACTAGGAGGACAATAGGGAGGAAGGTACCATGATTCAGCTAACTGGCGCCCTGTGCCATTAATCAAAGTGCTTTCAACATGTTCAAGAGCAGTTGAAGCTGCTTTATCACTTTGAAGTTGACTTCGAGCAAATGACTTCTGCACCTCATCCCCACCATGAACTATTACAGTGCCAAACTCACCTGCTAAACATAAAATCAGAAAAAGAGAAAACAAGCTGAGAAACAAGTTTTTTTCCAAAACTAATGAAGAAAAAGTTGACCACTCTATACGAGTAAAATTGTCTTAGTTGTGGTCTGCTGCATTTGAGAAGACAATCAGCAAAGCAAGCCTCAGAACTTTCTACTGCCTCCTAGAACTTCTCTCTCTCTCTCTCTCTCTCTCTCTCTCTCTTTTTCTGAGTAAATGTACCTGAACGTTATCCTAAAATGTTTCATACCACCAGAATGACCAGATCATATCTAACCATACTAAATTCGGTAAAGAAAGCTTTCACATTATTTTCACCACTGTAAACAAAACATAGAATAAATATTGTGGTAGGTCTACCTATCACTTCCAGAGCAGGTCCCTAACAAACATCCCAAGTAGTCACCTATGGAAGCATTATTTCTGAGTACAAGAACAGCCAACAAAGAGTAATTAAGGTGGTAATATTGTCCATACCCCACCCCATCTTTTACCATATAAGATTTATGAAATAGAAGCAATCCATTGGAAAAATGAGCACACTTCTAGTTGACTTTGTAACTTCACCAGTACATGGCTATCTCACAATTATCCACACGAATGCAAGCTAAGGCACCAATTCCAAGCCCCATTAAAATGGTACACCAGTATTATGGCTCAGCTATTCCTCCATATAAGACTTGTCTTCAAATATCTGAAAATTGTTTTCAAAACTATAAAAGCAAATTCCATGAGTTTAACTAAAGATCTCCCCAGCAAGCCTCTCCTGTCCCTCCATTTCCCCTTTCCCTAAAGGTACATTGCACAAGCATTGACTAGTGCTCTACTCCACCACAGAAATCCAACTAGTTTATTGATATAACATACAAAAAAGAACTCCATACCTTCTCCTGTCACTTCCACACCATCTAATATGTGATGCTTCTTCAAAGTGCCAGTTGCAGGAGCCTCATTCGCAACTTCAAGACCCATATTCTGAGGCCTTGATGGAACAGTATCCCCATAATCCTCATTCAACTGTGAACCTTCCGGTGGCTGCTACAGTTTGAGAACAGTTGGAACCAGTTGAGATAGATATGCATACCATAGACACTAGTTAAGTGTGTCCACGTGTGAGAATGTGTGCATGCTCCCAATTACTTGGTCAGTTGGGACAGAGAGAGAAAGAGAGATTGAGTAAGTGCAAACAAAAAAATTTCATACATTAAGTCCTGAAATGGTAGGAGCCAGAGTTTGTGCTTGTTGAACCATTGCAGCCCTTATTTGCTTTGCCTTCTCAATCTTTGGAAACATTACAGAAGCTCCACATTTGCATTTCTCAATGAATTTGTGCTAAGTTTCAAACACAGATGATGATTTCAAAGTCAGAAGTATAAATACACAAAAACAAAAAAGGAGCCAACAAAAAGGCAAGTAAGGTGGAGAAGAATGAAGTGAATAAGGATGTGAAAAATCATCCTTTTTTCCCTTTATCTATTAATATGCTTCATTTTAACTCTATGCACTTCATTACATGTGGTGACCAGTACCTAAATTCAGGACAGTCATTTTAGTCCCACAATAATCAAAAACCGAGAATTCTTTCATTATAATACAAATATCTCAATAAACCATATCTAACATTAATCATCATTCCTATAGCACAGGCAGACCTATAGGATCACCAGACTTCACATGAATAGATCAATCAATGATGATAATAATGCTAGATTCCATTTTTCCAAGTCATTAATGAAGGAGAATGATTATAAGGGCCTAAACAAGCTTATAGTCAAAACTGGAGAACTATCCTTCCAACAGTAAAACTTTAAGCACGATTAAAACTCAAAGCCACACTATCATACAATAACGAATAAACACAAATACATGAGCAAGGGCAAAAACAAAAACCTGAACTCTAACACCACATTTAAGCATCCAAGTCTAACTGAATTAGTAGTAGCATGTAAGGAGGCCCAAGAAAAAAGATGTAGACTTGTATATGGCTAATTTGTAAAAAGCAAAGCAGAAAGCATAAGATGGTCGCTAATATGCAGGATGCATTGACATATGGAGCTGGCACACCCTAGTTCTTCTTATTCTAGTCTTATACTACAGGCTTGCAACTCAAGTATTCTCCTGCCATGTTAAATACTACAATTTTAGTCACACATAAGGCTTCAGGATGAGGGTCTGTCACTGCTGCTTGCAACTCCAAAGAAATAGAGACAAGAGCTTCTTGAACTTCATTCACTTCAAGGGTAGGCAAATAATCATACTTGCTCCACAATAATTCTGTCTAATTCCTCAAAATGACAAAAACCTCGTACTCCTTTATAATGCCTTAGTGAGCAACATGAATTTATCTATGCTCCAT